ATATAGAAACCTAGCAGGCTATACTATAGGAGGATAGGGACCTAATATTAGTTTAAGTAGAGACATCCTAAGGTACACTCTAAGTCTACTATATATACAACCTACTACTAGACTTAAGAAGCAGTACCTAACTAAAAACACTAGAAAGACTACTAAGAGTTATCTAGGGGAACACCTACTAAATCCTACTTAGGGATTTCAACCTCTACTACCCCCTCTAGGGCTTAGACTTTACCCTAGCTTACTACTTCTTAGTAGGAAGACTGATTAATATGTTAGAGAGGGAAGGAATAGAAATTGTTACCCTAAAGGGACTAATTACTTAGGAAGCAAGAGGAAGCAGTAGCACACTAGACCTATACTTTGCATTATATTAGATTAGGAATAGGATTATAAGATACAGGGTCAACTAGGAACTAGAAGAATTATCAGACTACTTCCCGGTATAGATTAAACTAAATGTCTAAGCTAATTAGGAAAGGGAACTAGAAGAGAAGCTTAACTAGAAAGGTACCTAATAGGGCAGGATTAGGGAGGAACTAGAAAGGGACCTAAAACTAGAGGAACTCTTAACAAAGTACCTACTAAGGCTAGAGGACATTAATAAGGCAGTAGAAGAACTAATAGGAACCCTAAAACAGGTAGCTAGAAAGCATACCCTAGCAAAGAAATATTCACTATACTAGCAACTATACTAGACTAGTAAGTATATAAGGAAGGTTAAAGCAGTAAGGAAGGCTAGGAGGTAGTAGATATAAACCTATACCTAGGAAGTATAGGACAACTATAACAAAGCCTACTAGGAAAAGAAGATCTAGATTAAGAAAGACAAGATACAAGAATAGAGATCTATAATAGGAATAATTATAAAGAAACTAGAAGAGATATAGAGGATAGCTAAATAGGCAAAGAGACCTAAATAGGACAAGGACATACTACTACAATTCCCGGACATTATAGACCAATAAGGACAAATGCAGACTATAATAGAAGGGAAAGCAAGAGCCTTAGGCTAACACTTCTTCTATAGAAAAGTACAAGCAGACCTATTAGATATAAAGGAGAAAGAACAAGAGACTCTACTACTAGGCATACTAAGAGACACCTAGGTTAAACCCGAAACCATTAAAAGGATCCTAAAGAAAATTCTAGGCAATAAGGCACTAGGAGAAGACAAGATCTATAACAAACTTCTAAAAGTATATAGGAAGGAGCTAGCCCTAGTACTAGCTAATATCTTTTTACAAAGCCTAGCACTAGGACACTACCTAAGACTATTTAGGAAGTCCCTAACAGTAGTGCTAAGGAAGCCCTAGAAGGAAGACTATATACAGCTTAAGGCCTATAGACTAATAGCCCTACTTAATACAATAGGCAAGGTACTAGAAAAAATTGTCGCTAAAAGGCTAACAACCTTTACCGAGGAAAGGAATATCCTTCCTAAAGGCTAGATAGGAGGAAGAAAGAAGAGGTTAATACTAATAGCTATAGAACTAATTATAGAACAGATTAAGCATATCTAGCACTATAGTTAAAACTAGGTAGCAACCCTCCTCTCCCTTAACATCTTAGGAGCCTTTAACAATATCTCCTATAAAAGGCTCCTATATATACTTAAACAGAAAGCTATACTAAACTAGATAGTCTAATTCATCTAGTCCTTCCTATAGGAAAGATCAATACAGCTTATTCTAGGCAAATTCAAATCAGACCTAATACTAACTAAAAAGGGAATCCCTTAAGGATTAATACTCTCCCTAATCCTCTTCCTTCTCTTTATAGTAGACCTACTCCTACTCCTAGAATCAAAAAACACATTAGCATTAGGGTTTATAGATAATACAAACATCCTAGCCTAGTTTAAGACAACAGAAACTAACTACAAGATCCTAGAAGAGAAGTATTAGGAGTATAAAAAATAGGCAAGGAGGTATAGAGCAAAATTCGCCCTAGAAAAGTACTAGCTTATCCACTTTAGCAAGGCTAAATCAACCTATAATATAAAGCAATTAATCACTATCTAAGGCTTTGAAACCTAACTATTAGTAGAGCTTAGGGTACTAGGGATCTAGCTAGATCCAAAACTGAATTAGAGACTATAAGTAAAGAAGGCAAAGTAGAGGGCAGATGCTAATATATAATCCATTAATAGGCTTATAGCCTCTATATAGGGGGCTATATTCGAGAAAGCTAAAGTTATATACAAAGCAATTGTTAAGCTAGCAATGCTATATAGAGCACAGATATAGACAGCCTAGGAGAAAACACTAAAGAGGATTAAGCAACTAGTTAGCAGGTCCCAAACCTAAAGCCTAAAGAAAATCCTAGGAGCATACAAAACTATACTAACAAGGGTAGTAGAAATGGAATTAGGGATCCTACTAGTTAAACAATACTTTAAGAGACTAAGACACTAATATATAGTAAAGACAATAGAATACCTAGCCTAACAGACTATCTAAAAGGCACTAGACAAGATAAAAGCCTAGTATATTAGGACTAGGAGGCGAGACAGACTATAAATAACTCCCTAGAAAGTTAAAGACCTAGAGCAATATAGAGTCTTAACAAGAGAAATACTAGAGAAAGAGCTTTAGGGACCAAATATAAGGCTAAAGGAAGACAAGCTAAAGAGAGAGAAACAAAGCCTAGCAGAATCAATTGCTAGATACCTATAGGAGCAGGAATAGAACAAAACACAAGTTAGACTAGGAACCCTAAAGGCACTAATCAAATTTAGTTAATACAACTACTAGCTCTATAAGGACCTAAATAGGGCCGAGGCAAGCCTAGCTATCTAAATCAGATCTAAACATATTAGACTTAGATCTTACCTGTTTAGAAGAAACGTCCTAGGAATTGAAAGCAGAGCTTACTAATATAGCTACTAATCTTAGAACCCTAAGCATATGCTACTAGTCTACCCTTAATAGTTAGAAGGTAGAAGTAATTAGAGACTAAAAGCAATAGAAAGGGAATACGATAAGCTAATCTAGAGCAAAGAAGACCTAAAGAGGATAGTAAAGTAGATTATTAAACAGGGATTTGTATAACAATTCGTACTAGTAAGGGAAACTAAGGAGTAGATAAGAAGGAGGGAAGAAGAGGGGGAAAGAAGGGCAGGGCAGTAGGCAAGGTAGTTAGAGGGTAACAACTATAACACTAGTATACCCTAAAGGAAGGAAAACAAGGAAACGAGGAAGAACAACACTTATAAATAGGACAGGAGGGAGGTTTTTACCAACTAAGTTGGTTTCCTACCTAAAACAATACATAGAAACAGACCTACATAGGCCGAAAGGCACTACAATAGGCAAATGAAATATCTATCTATCTATCTATCTATATAATTAATTAATATACTGCGTTAGTTGTAGAATACTAAGCGCGATAGGTAAAGCTAGCGTTCGAATATATTTATTCGAATCTCTACCTACGGCGCTTGCCGCGCGCTAGTCGCTACTAGTTATATTACTCGAAGTCGTTAAAATCTACCTCTTATTCCTTATCTTCCTTATTATCTTCTTTATATAATATATATAGCTCTTCTATATTATCTAGCACTAACGGCTTATTGTTCTAAGCCTATTATATCTATTAGGACTCTTCCGGGTCGAGTGCTATTATATTCTAAGCGTTACTAGCGGTCGACTCGAATTGCGAAGCGTCGTACGGCAAATCTACCCCTTCGATATTATATCTAGTATAAGCGAAGAGTTTACGCGTATAGCGGCCTCGATATAGGTATAGACAATATAGTAAGTAATCTTAAAAGCTAAAGAACTTCGGCAGCTAACTTCTATGTCTTTTAATAGTCTTCTTTAGTAGATTGAAACTGCCCTCGATAGGGTTCAAATCCGGACTATATAGCGGCAAGTACTCGAGTCGATATCTAGTATCGAGAATCGCCTACTTAATCCTTAATCTATAGTAAATACTAGTATTATCTATTATAAAGATTATTAGCGGACCTTCTTCGAGATATAGAAGCACCTATTTAGTAATCTAAGTATAGAAACGGTTAGCATTAATCGATCCTTAGTATACGTAGGTATATAGTAAGTAGCTATAAACCGTAAAGGCCGGTAGTACACTCTACCGTACTTCTCGCTTCGCATACTAGAGATCTACGTATATAATACCCTTTAGACTCTAGCTATACTTCTACTAACCTATCTTCTAATTGCTAGTAGTCTCGTCGATAAATACTAGTCGATCTACTAGCTATTTAGCGTACCTAATCGTCTATAGAGCCCTTAAGAACGGGTTACGTTCCTTCGCCGCCCGCTTTACCTCCTTTCGAGTATACCTATACCTTTTTAATACTATACCGATTAGAGACGGCCGAAGCTCTACTATACCCTTTCTACTCTTATTTACTAGCCGTAGCCGTATAAATTCGTCTTAAAGAGCTTAGATTATCTCTATAAAGTATGCGTCCGGTCGATCGTCGAGATACCCGAGTATAAACTCCTCTTCTATAGCGAGAAGTTAGAGGTTCTTATAGCTACGCTAAGTGCTAGTATTCTTTAGATATAATACTCTAGTTATGCGATATCTCTCTTAATAGCGATACACTAATCTAACTAATATTGGAAGCTTTGCAAAGGCATATATCTGCTTAGTAGTAAAGCCCTTCTTAAAGAGATTAATTAGTTAGCCTTACTAGTCGTCGTTAATACGCGCTTTCTTTACTATAGCGGACGATAACAATACCTCGGAAGGGTCTATACTACTAGAAAACCGTCGACACGATATCTACTATATATTAGAGGACTATAGGCCTCAGAAGGAGAACAAATAATTCAAAAACCACCAAAATAGCGGTATGGTTCCTCTCTCGGAGGTGCAGGGTTCTCCCCGCACCGGCACTAACAAGTTGGACTCAGCACATAGTATCGGCAAGCTCCGCTGGACAGCTTCTGAGCTTCAAGATGTGATCTCCTTAAAGAGCAGTTTGTGTTGCAGTGATCACATGCCGTTATCCGAACCTCCACAGAATGCACATGCAAGTGATCGGCAAGTATGGAGCAGTACCGCTTCTCGGCTCTCAGCCGGCCAGCATATCGCACCAAAATAGTAGTGGAATCCTTCTGCGAGTTTCATCTGGAGTGCACAGCCTCAGATAGGCGTTGCGATAACTATACAATGTCCTGCTATCTTGACATAAAGCTGCTAGACTCCGGCATCGTAATAAGAATGCTGTAGGAGCAAAGCATACATCAACCTTCTTTCAAGGTTCTCATTCCTAAGTGCGAGTACCGAGTACCCAACAGATACGCTGCAATGGGAGAACGCCCTCGCCTGGAACTGTTCGCAGGATTAGCTTCGCTTTATCGTTCGAGAGACTTTTCGGATTTGGTCCTGGTCGGAAGAGAAGGATCAAGACATTCTGTTCACAGGGCAGTGTGTTGTCCGAGGTCGCAATATCTCTACAATGCCGTGCGAGAAGGGAAATGGAAGGTGAGTCGTTCCAGGTCACTGCCTATGATTTTGATGTCGAAGCTGAGATCTAAATTACAGGATGGGATAGAAGGACAGATAGGCCTTGGCGAAGATGATGAGCTCGTTCGACTGATTGTTGAATACTTCTACTTGCTGGACTACGACCCAGTCATCACATTTCCAGAAAGTGACAGCTCGCTTCACAGCCCACGCCATGACAGCCGAGATGGTAGTGACACCATGAGTGTACGGACGGACGCAGGACAATACGGCCATGTTTATGGAACATCTGCAGTCAGCGCCTTTGGTGGTCCGGTGCATGGCCAGCACTCGCCTTTCTCTGCAGTGTTCCGACCTCGTAATGATTCCTCGTTAACGGTGCATGCTGTGCCAACATCGGCCACAGGCTTCGGCGAATTCCCTCCACGAAGACGGAAGACAGACAGAGGCATGGTAACGAATGCGCCTGAACCTTCTCCGCTCGCGACAAAGCAACCTCATCTAGTTCTGAATGCAAGGCTGTACGCTGCTGCAGACAAGTATGGCATTGACGGGCTGAAAGCTCTTGCTCTTGATAAGTTCAAGATCCAGCTGACGAGACATTGGGACTCGTCTGAATTATCGGAAGCTATTCATGTTGTGTATTCATCAACACCTGCGATGAACAAGGATATGAGGGAAGCCGTGGCAGATACGCTCGGCTGGCACGGGCGGCTACTCGACAAGCCGGAGATTGAGGTGTCCATCATGGAAATCAATGGCCTTGCATATGAGCTCCTGAAACGAAGCAGAAGGGCGGAGCCAGAGTACATGGAGTGACAGCATGGAACAGATTTGCAGACTTAGCTGGGTCCATCAAGAATGCTAAGAAGCTTACGAGCTCAGATCAATTGCCTTGTCATTCAGAGCAGGAGCAGGTTCGAAGAGGCACTGAGGAGACAAAGCAATCCACTTTTGAGCGCCTGCTCCGGCGATGCCATAGGGTCAAAAGTTTGGTGTATCCCACTGGTTATCAAGCGCGAGAGTGCGCATTTGACACAAACCTTGCTGCATGACGACGAGCTTGGGTCGGACAGCTCGAAGTTGCCGCAAGAGGCGAGGAAGCATGTGAAAGTTGCATGCAAGCTCGTCCACATCTGACGATGACGGACGCGAATGGACTCGATCAAGATCAGTGCGTGAATTGTGCCCAACGGCCGAAGAAGGAATTTGGTTTACATTTATAGGGCTCCATAGCGTAATGCCATGTCATCATGCCGCCTTTCTTTTGATATCCGCGCTATGCTTGCAATACAACTATATAATGCGAGACCAAGGCCAAGGAAGACCTCAAGCTGGAGGGCTGCTCAGCGTAGCTCATCTCGGATCTCCTGGATGAGCTCCTTCACAGCTTGCTGTTGAGCTGCTGGCTTCATGGCAGCAAACTGCAACGAGCCAGCAATGCCGCCCTTCAGCGAGTCTCGGAAGCTGCCACCAATGGACAGCAGTGTGCCAAGTGCTGCAAGCGTTCTGGAGAAGCCGTCCGGATCGGCAGCATGAGGACTCTCACACTCGAGAAGCATGGCGATCTCGGTAATGAGCGTCCTTGCCCTCGCTTCACGCATAGCACCTTCGTTCCCAGTGCCGCTCGAGAGCAAGACGGCGTAGTTGAGATAGAGCGATGCAAGTGCCTTGACCTGAGCTACAGACTCAGGCCGGCTTTGGAAAGGCTTCACGAGCCCAATGACGGTGTCGAAGCTGCCGTCTGCGATGAGGCGTCCAGCATCGCTCTTGAAGAGATTCACCAGCAGTCGGATGGCGTGAACGACATTATTGGCGGTTTGCTGTCCTGGTGCTAAAAGGCCGGCAGAGTTGAGAGTTTCAACAATTGTACCATTGCCAGCACTTGTGGCACTGACGAAGGATGGAGACACAGCGAGGAGAGCGAGCACTCCGACTGCGGGAACACGGCTCTTCTGCGGCCACAGCGACGCAACTTTGAGCAGTGCAGTGATCTGCGGCTCAGTGGGGCGTGGATCCTGTTTGTTTTGCAGCTGCGTGGGTAATGCTTTCAAAGCCGCGACTTCCTCAGGCCGCAGTGCTTGCTCCACTGTCAACTCGCCAGACTTGCTGAGCTCATCTGTCTTCTGTGCAATGATGTTGATGGCGTTGGCTGGATTGCCCTCGACAATTTCGATGAATGTCTTTTGTGGAATTTTCCGTTGACCGGAAACGGAGGAACCAGCGTCGCCCGGCCGATATCTTCGCTCAGTCCCCCAAGGGTCCTGCGATTGATTTGTTGGTCGACTGCTAGCCGCAGAGTCTTGCCCAATTCTCGCGCCTTTTGTGTTGTCTGAGATCCAATTGGCAACTTGCTCATAGTACGACATTGGCAGCTCGTTCTTCTCCAAAAACTTTCGCGCCGCATCCCACGCGCTTTCAGTCAGGTTGTATGGCAGCTTGAGAGGCGGCTTACCCTCTTCAATATCAATATCGAAGACGAAGTCATACTCCTGGCCATTATGTACTTTCTTGGAGGACCCAGTGCCTTGGCCTTCAACAACAGTGCCAATCTAAGTGAGCGATATGTTAGCAAGCAGCGCAGTGAAGTTGGCCCAGGGCAATTGGAAGACATACCAGGTTCCATTGGCTTGTAGATGCTGACCACAAGTGGGCAGTCACACTTCCGTCATTCTCGCGAATGAAGAGCTGTTGGCCGTCACGTTCGCCGACCTGCGTCTGGAGTGCGCCTGTTAAAACGTCGGTTAGCCCACGTTCATCCTATAAGCGATCCTTCCGGAAGCCGACGCGCCTTCCGCAGCTCCAGAGCCTTCGTCGTGCAGCATCTCTCTGGTAAATGTCTGGTGACGAGTGTGGGGGCTGCGCATGAAGGTGTGGGGAGGACTTTGGCCCATGAGTGCCACATTGGTAATGCGAGATAGACTTACCAGGGCCAGGCAGATTTTCCTTGTTGAACGGCTGTCCCTGACTTGCAGTTTCGGCAGGTATGGCATACATGCGGTTGCTCTCCTGGAAGGAGCTTAACGTCTGTGAAGCAACCCATTAGCTCAGTCCGATTCGCCAAAAGCTGTGGGAAGTCCTAGGAGAAGGTCCAGGCGAACTTCCTTCACAGCGAAGTCCGCCACTAATGATACATACCTCAGGGTCTGCTTGCCTCTCAGGATCTCGGGAGAATATGCGAATGATTTTGTCGCTCGCTCCACTGACAATGTCACCAGTCTCCGGACAAGCCGCCACAGTCCAAATGCTGATCGCAGGATGAGTTATGGTCTGGATGCATTGGCCATCCCTCCATATCCGCACTGTACGATCTTCTGACGAACTCACAAGATCGCCGTTCGGAAGACTAGCGAGGCTGTAGATGTATGCCGTGTGGCCTGAAAGCTCTCCAATCTGCTTGCCATCCAGAGTCCATAATCTGATCACCTCATCGTTTCCAGCAGAAGCAACAGCCGCGCCTGACCAGTGCCCTGGCGGAAGCTTCGCAAAGCATCGCACCACATCTGTATGACCCTTGATCTCCTGCAGCGGCTTCCCATTCAGATCGTACAACCGAATGCTCTTGTCGGCGCATGCTGTCAAGACGAACTTGTTGTCGTAGATCATCACACCCCATACTGGACCGCCGTGACCTTGCAACTCCGCTGTCACACTGCCGCTCTCTACATCCCACACGAAGACCTGACTGTCCCAACCACCGCTTACTACCTTACTGCCGTCGTCGCTGAAAGCCAAGCAAGTAATGTTCCCCGCATGTCCAATGAGCAGTCGATGAGGGTCTTCATCTACTGGCCGGCCAAGCTGCTTCACAAACACGAATGTCTCCCGGCCTCCAGCAGCAAGGACGCCCTTCGGGTGCTCCTGAGAAGGCGGGGCGTAGGCAAGCCCATTGAACCAGTGACTGCCTTGTAAAGCAATAGTGTCGTCGTAAGTCGGCGGCTTGGACGATGTCAGGCTCCATTGCCGGACCGTGTTATCGCGTGATGCTGAGAGGAGGAGGTCGTGGGAGGGAAAGACGATTGCGCGGACCTGTTGGTTGCGCGGTCAGCTACTCCAAGCAAGAATCAAAGCTTGTGACGGCTTGAGTAAGCATAAGGTGCGAAGCCAGCGTCATAGGAGAAAGCGAGGGGAGCAGTATTGGAAGCTTGACGGCTTGACGGAGTGGAGTGGAGGAAGGCTTCGTGGGCGGGTATTCTATGTCAGCAAGCAAACAGCAATCTCTCTTACATCTTCTTCGTGGCCACGCAGTGTGGAGCTCAGCTTGAAATCGCTGGCCATGCTGCCGGCGTGCACTGTTACTGTGTACCGTACGCTTGCTGGCGAAGTCAAGTGTTTCGGCACAGCTCTCCAGATAGCAGATAGCTATGCGCGGCTTGGCGTCAGGCACCGTGCGAGTTCTGCCTGACGGAAATGTCCAGCATTGGACTTTCTTCGGCCTACAGGGAAAGGAGGGAAGCAAAGGCAAGCTCCATATGCTGCATTACGGCAGACGCTGTCCAATCCTGAATCCCTCGGGTATGAGCTTTTTCATGTTGTATTACGTTCAGAAGCCAATGAGGCAATAACAGACTTAAGTGTTCCGAACGACTTTGAGATAAGTTTCCGATGCACAAGCTCTTCACATTGTGCAACCCCATCGCTGTGGAGAGCTAGTATGCGCTTAGGAGACCTAAAACAGGTCGGCTGCAAGTTACTAGTACTATTAGTTGTCTACTAGTGTATAAGGAATAGCTCGTATATATTACTTTCTACGCCTAATAGTACTCGAAACGCTTCGCCGAGAGGGCTGCCCTATAATACTAAGGACAGTTAAGATACTAAGTAAGACGGCTACCGACAATCGACTAAATCTATACTATATATAGACTAATACTATATAAAACTGTTAAACTTCTATTTCGGGGAATATAAATAATCTATAGTATACCGTATAGTATCCTTACTACTATACTTTCTTTATAGTTTAAGTAGACTTACTATATTAGGGCTAAAGAGGCTATACGTAATTAGTATATAACTAGGCTGAGTGAAGCTAGGGTCTTAATGCCTTAGGCAGGGCTTAGCGCTTAGTAATAGGCTAACTCTTCTACCTTCCTCCCTTTTCTTCTAGATTCTTATTAAATACTACTTATACCTACTACTACCCTATCTACCTACTAACGTACCCTTCTTATATAGTATTCGATCTACCCTTTAAGGGTAGTAGCTAGATAGTCCTTATTTTAAGCTTTTAGCGGTATAGCTACGAAAATCGTTAATCTAACTATATTACGCCCGAAGAACGGGACCTATATATACTATTCTATTAGAACAACCGTACTAATTATTAAGCAAGGCCTTCTATACAGTCTATTATACTAAGTTAATCGTACTAAGCCGATACCTACTAATTCCGCTATATCCGTACTATAGGGGCCTATAATATATTATTAGTATTACCCTTTATTATAATAGCCGGTTTATTACGAAGCAATAACAACAACCGCGGCGCTGCTAGTAGCGCTAGCAATAACAACGCTAGTAGCACAGTTCCTACTAAAGTACCTACTAAAGAGCCTACCGGAGGGCCTACTAAAGAACCTATAATCGAAAAGAATAACCTATCGTTACCCGTTAACGATATTCTTAGCAATATTATTAATGTTAGAGCTAATGTTAGGGCTAAAGAGGCTATACGTAATTAGTATGTAACTAGGCTAAGTAAAGCTAGGGTCTTAGTGCCTTAGGTAGGGCTTAGCGCTTAGCAATAGGTTAACTTGCCTACCTTCCTCCCTCTTCTCCTAGCTCCTTATCGAATACTACTCGTACCTACTACTACCCTATCTACCTGCTAATATAACCCTTCTTATATAGTATTCGATCTACCCTTTAAGGATAGTAGCTAGATAGTCCTTATTTCAAGCTTTTAGCGGTATAGCTACGAAAACCGATTAACTATATTGCGCCCGAAGAACGGGACCTATACGTACTACTCTATTAAAAATAACCGTACCAATTATTAAGCAAGGCCTTCTATACGGCCTATTACACTAAATTAATCGTACTAAGCCGATATCTACTAATTCCGCTATATCCGCATCTTAGGGGCCTATAATATATTATCGGTGCTACCCCTTATTATAATAGCCGGCTTATTACGAAGCAACAACAACCGCGGCGCCGCTAGTAGCGCTAGCAACGACAACGCTAGTAGTACAGTGCCTGCTAAAGTGCCTACTAAAGTGCCTCCTACTAAGGTGCCTACTAAAGAGCCTACTACTAAGCCTGCCGAAGAACCTATAGTTCTAGGTAACGACCTAGAGTTGCCTATTAACGACATACTTAACAACATTGTTAATCGACGATATAGCTAACTAGCCTTTAGCCCCTAGCTAGTAGCGAGACTTTAAGAAGCTACCTAAAACAGGCTCGCTACTCTACGTTAAGAATAATAGCTAAAGGACAACCTCCTCGAAATTCGCCGCCTTTAGGAGGCCCTAATAACTAACACTAAGCCGATAGCAGGGCCTTCCTTACTATTAGTCCTAGTCTAGAAGAAGGATGCTAAACTTAAGGACTGTACCGTGTTTAATAGCTCTAGTCGGAAGCAATACAATAACTATATTCGTAACTACAAGCTTAACTAGCGCAATGTACCGAGAGCGCTACTAGATAACTATTCCTTAGTTGTCTATGCTATGCAGTACATTAATAGCGACCTAAAGCGTACGTAGGATAACTATTTCGACTCCCTTAACGATTAGACCGCTATTTAGTAGAAAACCTATAAGACTATTATACTAGACACCCTTAGAAACCCTATACTAAGGCAATAATACGCCTAAGACTAATACCTACGTACTAAACAAAAGGCCGACTAAACCTCTCGATCCTTCGAGGCTTATCTAAAGACCCTCGAGGACGATTTGCTACCTAAAACCGACTCTATCTAGATATCTAAGATACGACCTAAACTAAGATAGGAACTAGTCCTTAAATTAGACCGCCGCCGTATATTCGAATAGGCTAATCTTATACGCATTCAATTTATAGTCGAAGTAGAGACAGCTAAGCGAGCTGTTTAGCTCTAATAACGGTTAGAATCTAAGATACGCCTAGCTACCTATCGTAGCTGCGGAGGAAACTAAGGTTCCTACTAGAACAATAATACTAACAATAGGAACAGTAACAACGACCGTAGAAGGGGCCGTAGCCGACGGCTATATAGAGGAGGCCGCGATAGAGGCCGTAGAAGGGGCTCGTATCCCTATAGTACTAATCGTTTAACTAACAATAGTAGCAATAGCGGCTATAGCAACCCCCTAACTAGATTGAAGTGCTTTAATTGTAATAGCACTAGCTATCTACTAGGCTAATGCGACAAACCTAAGGACTAGGCCCGAATCGACCGTACTACCGCTAAGCACCGTAAGCACCTTTTAGCCGCTAACGCTACCCCTATAGGCTAACCTTCGAAAAAAGAGTAAGCGCCGCACTAACTATTAGCCTCGTGCGGCGTAAGACTATCGACATTGTACTAGCTATAATACGCTCCTGCCTTATATAGGATACGAAGAGCACTAGCTATTAAACTAAGGTTATACTAGATCTAGGAAATTTAGTTAGTGCCCTTATTAGCTATCGCCTAGCTAAGCAATTAGACCTTCGACAACTGCCGAGGACTAACCTGCCAACCCTTGCTTAGTTTAATAACGCTCGGTACTTAACCTATAGGGCCTACTATATTCCTATAGCTCTAAAGGACGACCTCGGAAATAAACGCCTACTAGACTTTACTGCCTACGTAGTAGATATAGACTACCTATATAGGGGAGCTACTATTATTATTAGCAACCCTATTCTTAAGCACTATGCTATAGTTATAGACTTAGGCAGTTAACAATAGCGATTTAGAATCGCTAGGAGAGAGGATATTAAACATATCGATATTAGCGAGTGTCCTAATAATATTAGGGTCCTGTTTATTAGCAATCTAATACCTGCCTTAGCTAATCCGATAGCTAATCTTCTCGGTAGAGATAACGATAAACCTATGCCCCCTAATAGCATAGACCCTAATTAGCTTGCTCGTATACTAGAGCCTATTTGAGAGACCTATATTAATGTATTTAAACACTACTTAGCATCGACATTGCCTATATTTAAAGAGACGGATTATAAGATTAATATTATAGAGGGCAAGGAGGTTCCCTTTAGTCCCCTCTATAACCTTAGTAAACGAGAGCTTACTATATTACGTAAGTATCTAGAGGAGAACCTAGCTAATAGCCGGATACGGTATAGTAACAGCCCTGCTAGCGCCCCTATCCTATTCGTACTAAAGAAGGATAGTAGCCTACGCCTATATGTCGACTATCGTAGGCTTAACGCTGTTACTATTAAAGACCGCTGTCTACTCCCGCTTATTAATAAGACCCTTAACCGCCTTTCTAGTGCCTACTACTACACTACATTAGACATTAAGGACGCCTATTACTATATCTGTATTCGCAAGGGCGATAAATAGAAGACAGCCTTTCGCACTCGTTATAGCTATTTTAAGTACTTAGTTATACTATTTAGGCTAGCTAATGCCCCCGCTATATTCTAGTCCTATATTAATCGGGCCCTATTAGGCCTATTAGATTACCTCTATATAGTTTACCTAGATAACATCCTAGTTTATATATACTTACCTAACATTGCGGAGCACTAGGCTATAGTCCGTAAAGTGCTCGATCGTCTAAGAACCTATAGCTTATATTACAAGCCTTCTAAATGCACCTTTGCTACTAAAGAGGTGTTATTCCTCGGCTTCCTTATATTAACTAAGGGTATTAAGGCTGATCCTAATCGGATTAAAACCATTACTAAATAGCCTGTCCCTACGTTAATTAAGGAGCTATAGTCGTTCCTCGGCTTCGCTAATTTCTATCGTCGCTTTATTAAGGGCTACTTACGGCATGTAATGCCCCTAACTAAGCTTACTAAAACTAAGGCCAACCTAACTAGAGAGTTTAAATGGACTAACAGAGCATAAGCTGCTTTTAACGGTTTAAAGCAGCGCTTTACTAAAGTCCCCTTATTATACTACTTCGTACTAAGCAAACTAATCCGCATTAAGACTAACGCTTTACAGTTCGCTATATTAGCTATAATGTCTTAGCAGTTAGACAGTAACTACTACTAGCACCTAATTGCCTTCTTTTTATAGAAGATAATCGATATAGAACGCCGGTACGAGACCTACGAGTAAGAGCTCTTAGCAATCGTAGAAGCCTTTAAATACTAGCGCTACT